TTTTGCTAAATTTAATTGTATTTTTGAATAAAAATGGAGATTGGGATTATAAAAGCAGAGTCCAGGAAATTTATCGAAAGTTAGTGTGCACTTTGTTATAAATAATAATAAATTTCTAGAGATTTTTCTTGTGGCTTGTGACTGTAATTAAAATGCTTTTTTTATGCGAAAAGTTGTCAAACGAGCAGACGGTTCACTTGATGTTAAGTGAATACCGCCGCCCATGGAACATCTGCCACACCCGAGGGTTACAGATGCGTTGACAACCTTTTGAAAATTGGGCTCCGGCTACCTCACTCACCAGACGAAACGCGAAAGTATTTGTCATACTTCCACTTTACGCTGGTCTTCTGTGAGGTCGTGGTACTTACCCGGACGGGCCTGCGCATTCGTGTAACGAGGCTTCTGCGTGGCCCTACCACCATTTAAATTAAAATGCTTTATTACATATAAAGAAATACTTTCTAATACTCTAGCGCGAAGTGCTTACTCAATTGTCGTAGATTTACGTTCTCTGTTTGTTATAAGGTATTTGGTTTAAGCGTAAGATGCCGTACTAAGTGATAGATGGATCAATATATTTTGCTTTCAATAAAACCGGTTTTCTTAAACAAAAATCGGTTTTAATAGGTTCTATTAAAAACCGGTTTTTTCACCGGTTTCTTCAAACCGGTTTACATCTCTAGTCCATACGTCTAATTTGATAGCATATATTATTGCGATGATTTTACATTTTGTTGCAAATCGTTTATTTAAAATTTTAATGTGCTAATAATGATGAACTTTTAAATGAAATTATTTATTTCTAGGAAACCAAATAAATGCTGTTTTCATACTGATGAACGTTTCAACATACGCGATCGATGGATCACATCTTTTGCTGTGAAATTCAGTGTTAATCTATGGTGGAATTATTTTGTCATTACCTTATACTTGTGGGCCAGAATGATCGTAGTAAATATCCTGCTTTTTTGCCAAACCCATCACGTTCACAGTTGAAGATTACTGTTTTATCCCTTGCCTCTGTGAACTGTAGCTAATGGCTAAGCTTTCTAGTTTCCCACTTTATAAAGTATAACAGTTATCAAACTCTAAAACAATCGAATGAACGGTGTTTACCTTTTAAAGTTTCGACTATTCTTGCTTATGAGACACTTCTTCTGCCGCGAAATAGTAATACTAAATACTTCTCCGTTTCGTCCGTTGAGTGGGCTAACAGTAGCCCATTTTATTAAAAGGTAGCAACGCATCTGCAATCTCACGAGTGGTGCAAATGTCCATGGGTGGTTATCACTTAGCTTCAGGTGAATTGACAAATCTAGTAATCTAATATAAACCCTACTCAAATAAGACAGTATAAATACAAATAACAGTTCCAAATAAGCCTTTACTATGTGTACTGTGTACCTTATAAGCACGTTTAAACTATTGGGTACTCTATGGTAACTGATAAACACACTTAATTTTTGTAAATAAATAGGTACATATTCCAAATAAATAAACACCGAGACACTGGAAAATCAATATGTTATCGTCGATAGTGTAGTGGGAATCGAGCTAACACTTACTGTGGTAGGACCACGCAATGGTATTCACTGTTTCACAAATGGGCAGGTCCATCTGGGTAATTACCATGACCTCACAGAAGACCGGCGTAAAGTCGAAGTATTAAACATCTGCGTCTCGTCTGGTGAGTGAGGTAGCCCGGGCTATATTGTTAAAAGGTGTAAATAACTACTTTATTTAAAGGTGGTAACGCTTCTACGGGTCACATAAAAGAAGAACGTGAAAGACAGTTCCACTACTCTGGACGTCAATATAAATTTTATTTCATCGTAATGTTTAAAATGTCTTTACAGCTAGGCCGTTATAGTAATATTGGCAAATTAGTGGTGTCAATATGTTTTTGTTAACAGCCGTGATAGCTCAATGTCCAGCCGCTCGGCCGCTTTTTCAATATACCCCAATAATGCACTAATGAAATTGCTATTTTTAAGTGCTGACTTATCATGTGCTCAGCGGTGAAGAGAAACGTCGTGATAAATCCTGCATATTTTCGTAATAACAACATACAAAAAATGTTGCGAAGATATGTTAATTACGTTAATCCGTAAAGGACTCGCATGGTAGACTATACCATCATACCCTCTGTACAGAGGAGGTCCGTGCTCAGCAGTGGGGCATTTATGGGCTCCTATTTTACTTTACTTTTCCTGTATTTTTCACACTGCCCTTAGTTGTAAAAGTATAATAATATAACTTGTAATCTCTTTTGCTTTTCTTTAGTAAAATATTGGAGCACAGTTAAATTTATTTCATCAGCATCATCAATATTTAAAAATATTGCTGGTAGATATACAATATTCGACGATCTCGCGATTGTTCTGGAAGGGCTTTGCTGATAATGATTCTTTCTTTGCAAACACGATATGCCTGCGATATACAATAACAAACTGATAAGGCATTATTAAATGATTGTTTGATATCAAATGATTAAGTCGTTTTTGATATGAATATAAGTTCATGACGTTACTCCTCAAATTAAGTTATCGTAAATCAGCGAATCTATACCTTTAAACGAGCAGTTCTTGTATATATAAACGGAATCTCGGAAACGGCTCCAGCGATTTTCATGAAATTTAGCATGTGGTAATCGGGCGCTCCCAAAACTGAAGGCCGTGGTTTGTGTCACGATCTAAACGATTTTTTTTACTTTTTTTTTAAAATACCGAACAAACCTCCGTCATCCAGGTACTTTTAAAATTAAAAGTGAAAGGATAGCGCTGTGAGGCAATATAGTGGATTGTTATGTTTTTATGGACAATAATTAAGGTATCAGGTTTCAGCTTCAGGACTGCAATTTGGGTGAAAAGAGGTAGTCTTATGCGCAATGGATATTTAACGACATATAAAATATTGATGATTACTAAAATAATTTGCAAAGTAATAATAAGCCAATAACAATACACGATTAATAAATAAATCAAAACGATTTTCTGTGAAACTGTACTAAGTTTTGCGGAGTCACTTATAAATTGCTACTGGGTAGGCGACAAGGACGCGTCCGAGGTCTATTTGCCTGTGATTTGCATACGGAATTCTCTTCTTGTATATTCCGGACTTCTGTGTTAAAATATCTTCCGGGCCCATTTGATGTGGCGGTGACGGTAGTAAAGTTTATAACACAATAAAGTTTTGTTTTCTTTTACAGAATGTAATCAGTCTCAAGAGAAATCAGATGTTTTGTTTCATCATTATAATATAGAGAACTAGATGTTCGTGATTATTACTGATGTAAAAATCCCTAACAATGGTTACAGTAGTCAAAGGCGTATAGCACAGCCTTTAAATTTTTGAACAAAGGTTTTTGGATAGATCCTCCCTTATGGTAAATAAGAATGTGTATAGATTTTTTATTCTAGAAGTTCTTGCAATTGACGAAGACAAACGTGCTACTGACGAATTCGGCAAAACGTCGAGAAGGCCGTTGTTTATAAACAGGTTTCGTGACGCAGTTGGCGGTAAATCGTTTAAGACTCTTTGTCCGATTTTTTTCATGTTAAATAGAAAGAAATAAATAAGATTAATTATTATGGATGACTCGTTTATGTCCCACTTATCAATGATTTAGGTCAAACGTTAAGCAGGTGGACTACATTCGATTTAAGATTTAACTAATGTATAAAAAGTCATTGACCTAATCTTTATTGTGAGTCACAAAATTTTATATCTTCTTAATGGTTATGTAATGAAAGGAAGGCGATTTTTATATTGAGTTGCAGTTAATGAAAGCATAATATATATGTATAAATTAGCGTTGCTTATTTGCATCAGCGTACTCGTATTTTGAGGGATTTTAAAGATACATAGGTATATCTCAACAACTTATACATTTACTTCTGCTTGTCCATGCTGCTAACTGAGAAATCAGGAGACATTTTTGGTTTTATCATGCAACTGGACATTTGTGTATATTAAATCATCGATAAATTATCCGCTTCAGTTCCAAAAAAATGTTGAATTTTAATGCAAAATAACTTTCTTGGTTACAAAAGAAAGAAGAAATACATGAATTACGACGACACTTAAATATTATTTACTAAGCAACCCATCGTCGCCCAGAACTAAAAATATATGTGCTCCAGAAGTTGGAACTTGGATTCCCAGTTCTGGAAAATATTGTATTTATACTAATATACATGTACTATAAATGAATGTATGTATTTATTTACAAAAGAAAAGTGTTTAGTATTTTTATTAGTGACCTATTGCTCGTAATTCAACCCCTGTTTCATTTGAGACTAGATTAGGTTATTTACTAGATTGAAAAAAGCATTATTTAATCGTGCGCAGTGGTTCCCTAACATGCATTCTATATAATATCAAGTGTGATATGTATTACTGAAAAAGTTATAATTTTGCATTGCTTCATAATTGAAGTAGGTAATTACAAAACCTTGAAAATTCAAGACGGTGGATTTATGTTTGCTATTGAAGTTGCTCATTTTATATTTGTTTATCATTCCCATTATCATTGAGAAGCTAATCCGCCCGTATCAGTACATGTTGTTTTTGTTCATGTAGGTATGGCGTTGTAAGGGAAATTAATTATATAAGACTACGTGATTTACTATTGACGTGTCTCAATGCCGAATATTAAATACTCTACGCTTCGAGATGCCTCTTTATTTACGAGGCCGGGCGTCTTTGCGCGTGTCACACTTGGACGCAACCGGCGCACCGATCGTCGAGTAATCTACACAGTTGAAAAAATTAAAATCGTTTATTATTTACACTAGAGTACAAAAAAACTTAAACAGCCATAAGTAGGGCGTTACATAAGGAAGAGCGATCCGTGCGCCGCGCGATCGCCGCGTACTTTGAACCCGCGTCGCTCGGCGCCGGAACCGGTCCCAGCGGACTCCGAATACAAACAGCAGTCACACAAACACGGACAGTCAAAGGCGCGATGCGAACGGACGGACGATGCGCGAACGCTACCCGAACAGGTAGCTGTAGAGCACGGTCATGACGAGGCCCAGCACCACGGGGAACTTCCAGGAGCTCATGAAGCCGCCGGAGGATTCGGTGTCCGTCTCGGCCGCGGTCCAGTTGATGTTGCGCTTCTGCACCGCGCTCTTGTCCTCGTCCACCAGCTCGCCGATGAGGAACTTCTTGAGGAGCTCCTTGGCGTCGAGGCTGTGGCCGATGTCGTCGAACTCCTCGGTGGCGTCCGTGCCGGCGGCGTTGATCAGCACCTCGTGGCCGCCCGGGTGGTCGTCCAGGAACTTGGTAACGTCATAGACGAGGTTGTTGATGATGAACACCGCGTCCGCTTTGGTGTTGCGCTCGGCGAGCTCTTTGCGCGTGAACCTCTTGGTCGCCATTTGTGCCGCGAGCCTCTCACCCGGCGGTCAGCCGCTGACTGAGCCGCCCCCGCGCGGCGCCCGCTCTTACGGCCCCATCCCCACCACCGCCGCCGCCGCGACGCTCACCTGATAACGGCTCACCGTACCATCGCATACGTGGCTCGTGGCTCGTGGCGACGCTGCCTTGTGCCCGCACTCCATTCATTGCGTATGACCTTATGGCGATGCGTTTATACGGTCCGCATCGAACGGCTCCTGATGCGATCCATTAACGCAAGATAATGAGGATATCGATCGGTTTCAGAGATCGATTCGAGCATACGCACTATGCCAGCGGACGGAGTTGGTTTATTTATGATAATTTATCTATTTTTGACGGTATTAGTTTATAATGAAAGGAATTATAAAATTAAATATCTATTTTTTTCTTGGATCTAGTGTATCCATCAACATCTCAGAACTCAACTTTAAGCGGTAAATACCAAAGCCAAAATAGTTAAGTTCGATTATATGTATATTCAACAACATAGAGCAGGTGACTGCCTAGGTTTCAAATCCAACCTAATCGATGAAGCTTCATTTGACGAACCACTGCTGATCACTAGCATGTTATTTAACGATTAAAACTAATGAATGAAGACCGTACGTCGTCTATGTAGAACTAGAATGGAGAACTGTTTGTTCTTCTTCTTCTAAGACAGTTGGCTGTGAATATGATATCGCCAATGACACAATAATGATAAAAAACAAAAGTTTCAAAGATCTAAGAATATCTTCTGGTTGCTTATTTTTGCTTCGCTTTTATTATGGTATGATGAAGAGATTGATGAACTGTTTGTCTTAGAATCGAGGAGAACTATTTATGACGTAGCCGGCAAATTAAACATTAATAATTTCGTACATGTTTAACCAGCGACAGGGTCATTGCCTTAGTGACGTCTAATTTAAATAGATATTCGTAATGATGTCGGTGAAATAATTTAGGTTTTTACAACATTAATAAGTGTTTAATTTTGTAGTAGTAACATTCTACTGCAAAACCTACTCTTAACAGACTTGAAACAAATTTGAAATCTCCAATCGTTAGGAGAACATGATGAGTTTATTTTTAATGGATAGTTATTTTATTTTTGTTTTTCATAAAATATTTAAGAGTACTATGAATCTTTTTAGATGTTAGATATAGTATTTCCAATAATTTTTTAAATCAAAACACATTTTTTATCAAATTGTACTGCTAATATTGTAATGTTTTTAATGTAATGTTATAAGGTGATGCCATCAATTATTTGGTGTGTGATATCAAAAAATGCACAAAATTCATCCTTGCTGCACGGCAATCAAAAACTATTAAAACAATTCAGACCTCAATCTCATAAACATCTGGAACTGGTTCCAATAAAAGGATTTTCATGTAGTATTAAATAATCAATAAATATTAAAGGTATTAAATAATTAATGAACGAAATGGGACGGCTGGTGGGTGTGGTGTCGTTGCAATTGGTATTGTTTAACTAGAGCAATGAAGATACCGATTTGAAATAACAGATTTATAGACATACAAAATGCGACAGGTGGATTTAGTTTTACCAATGACGGAATGACATTTGTATGTTTCACTAGCATGCGAAACTTTTTCGGCAGAAATTTTTACATGTAATAGCAACACGGAAGTGCATAATTGAACATCAATTAAAACGTTAAATAATATAAACTTATTTTTATATAATACATTCGTGTTGCAAATCCCAAATAACAACACAATTCGAGTAATGAATTCGACAACATAATAGGTCAACCCCATAATTTGAATATTTGGGAAATGTTATTGTTCATCGTTGTTCCCCCATTTATTGAACTGTTCACTTTTGCTTCTACTTCTAAGCAGTTTGGATACTAATCAATATTAATTAGCAGTCAAGCCACGAAAATCACCGATGGTGCTAATGGATTGTGACTTCACTTTTGTATATTAAATCGCGAATTAAAATAAATCTATCGCCCCCTTTCACGCGCTTGCCATAGCCGTTAGTCGCTGCCTGTTTGGATACTGCCAATTCGCGTCAGGTGTATTTTTAATTGTACTTTCACTAACAAAAGCACGCATTTTAGGCGGATCTATCGTTTGAGTTATTATTTCATTTTACTTCCAGGAATCCACGAAAAAACCAGTTCGAGCCCCGAAGCTATTATTTGTGTTTTTATTCTAGTTACGTAATGATTTTGATTGCTGTTAATGGTTATACTTTTTTCTCATTTAATATGCTTTGTCATTGTTATTTCATTTAGTGGTTTTATCTCTTTATGTGAATGTGTATTCTGCTGTATTTCATTTTGAATTTTGGTACCAATTATTACCTTTTCATCATTTATTTCATTTTGAAAGGGATTAAAAGAATCAAATAATATCAAAAATTTATTTAGACAGCACTTTTCAAACCCTTATAAAAAACTTTCATGCTACGGTCTACCTACAACTGCATACATGCGTAAGCGAGTTGATTGGAATATTTAACTAAAGTATTTTCAAAAATTACAGCTATTGAGGATCCCACTTAACATAGATGTTAAGGAGTATGTACAAATAATAAAGCTGTTGTAAACAAAATTAGCTCTATTTAATATAAAATATTTTATCACAGTTTGTTATTTCAGTTTTATTTTGTTAATTTTGTGTTTGTGGTTAAGGTATTAAATAATTTTAAGAATTATATATAGAAAGGGTTTTAACTCCTTAAATGCTTACTGATATCCAAATTAGTTTTTTTAACATATATGTAACATCTTTGTATATCCACCACCATGTACCACAGTCCTTGAGATAATGCGAATGAGTTGCAAATTATGCGTACTTTTACCAATCATTTAGCGGCCTGTGTAAATTAATTATACTACATAATGCCTTTAACAGTAAACACTTCAATTCCACAAATCATTCCAAAGCCCACTGACGTCCTAACCTGCCTTCCTTTAACGTGTTTGAGATTTACATGCTTTATACTCTATGTAACACAGTCATGTTATTACGATAAAGCAATTGCATGATGAACTTTGTACTTATATTCAATTCCGACGCCATGTATTATGTAGTACGCCGCTAATTACAACAGATTGCTTTAAACATATAGGTAAACAAGTTCTTACGGTTGCCTTGGAGTTAAAATTAACCTAAGTATAGATACATATACAATTATGTTGAATAAACAACGAACCGGATATAGGATGTATGCAATTGGCAGATCTTGTAACCGTCGATACGTTCGATTCCGCACCAGTTAGGACAGTAGGAACACGTAGGTGAGTATCGCTATTCCCGAGAGCACTAGCGGCGGTGCCCACACATGCAGGATGCCGCTCAGCGTGAGCTCGTCGCGGGGCTGGTCGGCGTCGTGCGTGGGGCGGCGGTACGGCTCCAGCCTCTCCTCCGCCACCACCTCGCCGATCTGGAACCTCTTGCGCCACTCCTTCGCGTCGTCGCTGTGGCCCACGTCGTGGAAGCATTGCGACGCGTCCTTGCCCGCGTTGTCGAGCAGCACCTCCATGCCGCCCGGGTGGTCGTCCAAGAAGGCGGTGACGTCGTAGACCACGTTGTCGATCACGATGACGGCGTCGTCGCGAGTGTTGCGGCCCTCGAGCTCCTTGCGCGTGAAGAGAGCGGCCGACATGGTGCGTGCGCGGCGATCGCTGTGCCACTGCGCGCTGGGCGAGTCGGACGTCTCTACAATGGGCCCTGGTGCCGGCTGCCCGTTTACCGCGCGCGCTGACCTCGCCTGACCTCACTCACGTGGACACCTAACCACCGACTCACCGAGTAACCCCAATTGTAGTGTGCGCTCCATTTTGCAACGTCCCGTCCGGCCTTGGCCGTTTTGATCCACTTTCAATGAGTATAACAATCGAATTATTTGTTTGTAACACGGGCTCGAATTTAATTTCGTTTATTTATTCATTTATTTGCTTAAGAGTAACCGCCGCCAATGGACATTTGCAACAAATAAGTTGCCCCCTTTTTATTGTGTGCTCTGGTTACCTTAGCAGATATACCACTTCCATTTCACGCTGGTCTTCTATGAGGCCGTGGTAGTTCCTCAGACGAACCGGCCTATTCGTGCAACAGCAAAGATTGTTGCGTGGCCAAAAGCAAATTATTGAACCAAACCTGTATTTTTTACGAATTTTATAATTATTTAAAGCATAATTATACTGTATACAGGGAGATTTTTTGAGAAGTGCCCAAATTTACACAGGAGGTTCAGACTCAGTAGTATAATCGTTTATTGAAATAAAAAACAAAGTTTTTTTTTCCAAAAAATGCCATTCTATTCCCTAAAAAACAGAACTTGTTGGCAATGCGGTAGTCATTCATAAATGCGTCGTATACTTGAAACGAACTTGTGTGCGTGTAAGTTATGAAAGATAGCGCGTAAAATAAATGAGTTGCGTATAAATCATGCACTTTTTGGGATAAGTTCAAACGAATAAAATTAATTACTTACGAGTAATTTTAAATATTTATCATTTTTTATATAACATTACTTATGTCTAGAATTTAGTGCATCAGATATAAATTCTATATTTATTCTTCAAAAAAGAGCTGTCCGAGCAATCTACAATATCGGAGCCCGGAATTCACTCAGAGATCTTTTCAAAGCGGTTAATATACTCACTGTTGCTTGTCAATACATTTATTGTAATATTTTGTATATACGTCATAACCTTAATTATTACCTAAAGAATAGTGACAGACATAAAATAAACACTAGAAATAAGGACAAGCTTACTACGCCATTGTTTCGTCTACAAAAAGTAAATAAGTCGTTCATGGGGCAAAGTTTGCGCATGTATAATAAAATCCCACAGTCGATATTAAGTCTGCCGCTTGACCAATTTAAATGTAAAATTAAAAATCAACTGATGATTAAAGCATATTATACCATTTCGGAATATCTCGACGACGCCAATGTGTGGAGTTAATACTGTTGATACTCACGTAGGCTAGAATAAGACTATTATACCTGTATATTATAATGTACCCTGATATTTTTGAAAAAGAGCAACTGTTGAGTTTCTTGCCGGTCTCTTCTCAACAGAAACCGCTTTCCGAACCGGTGGTACCTTACGAACCTATATACATAATCTTTGATGTAAAATTTGACGATTCATAAGAGCGCGCAAGCGTCTATTTGAATAAATATATTTTTGATTTTGATTTTTGAATAAAAAATGGATACACTTAGAAAAGCCACCCTGTATAAAAAGCGTATTTTGATAGATGATTTTTGAAGTGTATAACCCTAGCTGTAGATACTTAAGCATGTATCTACGAGTATTTTGTACAATTATTTCCTCCACATATATGCGATACTTGCTACATATATCAATTATTATAAGTCGCTGTCATTACCATAATATTTTTTTTTTGCTTGCGCTTTAGATCAACAATAGCAAAGTTTTGTAGTATTGATGGAAATTAGTTTCCGTTCAAGGATTTCATTATTTTAATTGTTTGAATCCATCCACGCGGATCAATTGAAACAAAAATATGAATCTAATCCAATTTAAATCCCTTCTCTTCCAGATGGAGCGTGATGTGAATGGAGTTGATTATTTTAATTTTGGAATAGAGAATATAATGTTTCTTTTAAACCGTGTTCAAAATTATCACGATATGGACCAAGAAATTTTCTTATTGACGTTATTGTCCATATTCTGATCACTATGCATCGTTATTTTGTTTTGCTAAGAGCAAGTATGACTCATACGCAAGCGAACACAAAAACCAGAAAAACTGGAAGTCAATTGGGTTTTTACGTGAAGGTTTAAGGCAGATTGACAGCGAGGTGACAAAAAATTTTGAGATAAAACACTAAATGGTAAAAGTCATTAAAAATCGACGACTCTAAAATTTTACGTTGACTCGAAAACTTCTTCGGAACACTCTTCATAGTATGTATTTCAATAGCCTCCGAGGTTATTGGTGTATCTAGTTATTTATTACAATACTTTCCTCCATTGATAGTTTCTTTGTAACATTCAGACAGAAAGACAGATATAAACAAAAATATAATCCATCCATACATACAAACTTTCGCCTTTATAATATTATTAAGGATGGGTCTTGGATGGATTTAATTTAGATTGTCGGCTGTTACGTATACCTTGACGCCGGAAGAGCTGAATATCCTTTGGTTGCATATGAAGATTGCTGAGGTCTTCATACATATGTGGAATGAAGGAGGCAAGCCTGGATAGGCTGGTATGTTTTTTATCCGTACTCAAAGCCAGTTATTAAGTACAAGTGCGTGTGCGCGTCCGTGCGTAAATATAAAGATATGTAACTGGAATTACTTTAAAAGTAATGATGAGAGCTCTCGGTTGAACGTTTTTTTTAACTCAGAACATAGTGTAACTGTATATCCTATTAAGATTTTATATCTTTTGCAGTAATATTCTCTGAGACTGTATGATAAGTCCATTTTTGTTACTATTAACTCAAACCCATAGAATTAGTATTATATTCGGTCTTGCACGGAGCAGGCTGGCGCTTGTTTGATATACTTAAATTCTATCCATCAGCGTTACTGGATCGCCGAGCCTCACCCTTTGGTTTCCATGACTCTATAAGTCTGATTGAGTCAGCCGGAGCGAACCCGAATACCAAACTCTAACTCGAGGAGCTCCACTAATTTCAAATATAAAAAATTGTAACTTCCAAATTAAGAACTAAAAAAACTAATGTTTAAAATGAAATGTATCGGTATAAAAATACCTAATCCTTAGAAATAACTTTAAAAATTCTTATTTCCTAATTAAATTTATCCTACTGTGAAAGCATGAATAGGCAAAAGCCTATAGTGTCGGGCTTCTAGGCGCCCGGTCACTGGCGGGCGTGTCACGAATATTGGCAAATCACGGCAACAACACCAAAGGGCCGACTGCAAAACAACGCTATAAAGACTACGAGAGTAATGGCCTTCCGAGCAATTTCCCTGCCGCGAGTTTAATGTATATGACGTTGTATTAAACGAGGGAATCATGCAAATGTGGGCACTGTTGTTTGTTTATGTGTGCGCCTAAGGGAACTAGCAATAAAATTCCCAACGCCCACAGTCACTTTCTCCAAGTATCCTTAGTCGAATTTAAAGATATAGTATTATTTGTTTGACATTTTCAAAACTTTCTGGTTTGAATTGTTCAATTATGGAGATACATTTAAGACATCCGTTTATTGTAACAATGACGTAATATTACAAAAAAGCTTAAAAGTTAAAATTTTGAACAAGCAACAAAAACTTCGATTAATAAAATAAAGTTCTTAACCCTTATAACAAAATAATCATTTAAGTGAAGTGGTAAACAACAAATAAATTAATCAAGCGATAATAAACAACAAATACGCGTCTCTTACTAAACTTTGGACAAAAAGATGCACTGAAATGAGTACTGTTGTGATGTAACTTATATTGGAGTGTTGCGCTCCAGTGGTTACAATGTTAATTTCACGGCATTCATTTCAACTCTATGTGGAAAAGTCGACTTGGGACTTTACCATTGTTTATTTAAATGAGGCTGAAAACTATATAATAATCAAAGTTTCCGAAAGTTAGTTTCCACCTGAAATTAGATTTCCACAGAAATTTGAAACACAAAACTATTGTGTACAACACTTTATCGTGACAAGTTGTAATGATTGATATTTGTGAATAAGCCAAGTCATTGTGAAATTGAAGATGATAAATCTGTTTATCGGAGGCAAGTCATTATATTTAGCGTTGTTATTGCATGACTTTAAAATTTACTAGAGTACTTATAAAAATTAATGTCTGGCCCAAATTGATACTTTGTTTAATACTTAATGTGGGATATAAAATATTATTATGAGTTGTGTTCACGTTGATCTGGGGCAATATGTAGAAGTGTTGCCACAAATAGGGGTCCTTATCCAGTGGACTGGAAGATTGTGTCATGTAGAACTAAGCGTGTAGAAATGCCTTTATTTGTCAAAATTCTCAAATAGAAGCCAGACGACGTGTATGGAATAAACAAACGTACGTCTCTAATTGAGTAACACAATTATTATTTTTTTATTTCAGTTTAAGTTCAATCTTGAAAGTTTACTAGTTATGTCCATCTAGCTAAATATCTAGCGTTGAGGCTGTACACAGACGGTGGTCATCACTTACCATCTGGTGAACCAATCGCCATCTCTTCTCCGAGTTCTTATGCTTACTATATGTCACAGTAGAGAAACGTGTTCTCACCCTAATCACTTCTCGACAAGAAAATGTAAGTTTTGGCCTTTTAGCCTTTGGATAGATATTTAGTGAAATATCAATAGCATCAGACCGAATCATCCAACTTTGCTATCTACCAAACTAAACATGTAATATAATACAGAATAAAATAACAAGAAGAACGGTAACTAACAAATACATTGAGCAAAATGCTTTTGAAACAACAAAAGTACGATCAAAAGTATACATTATTGTCAACCAGTCTCTAGTGTTACTAACATCAGGCAAAAAGATCTACTTCGATCAAAAGCTTCTAAAACTTCCGTGTTGATTGAATGAATTGTGTTTACGTTTTGATTCAACGGAGCGATATCGACCGGACGGACAAATAGTTTGGAGATAGATAGAATCGTTGAACCCTCCTCAGGGTGCGGTGACAGTCCACTATCGGTTTGTTATCAATAGGCGCACATGACGCGAGTGCCGCACTCGCTACTCTCCCCATATCCTAACGGAAAGGCGGCCTGCGCACTAATGCCTCGGCCATAGCCTAGATATCTCCCACGTGCACTGCACGAGTCAGCGTTGGAAGATTTAATGAAAAAAAAAAAGCTACAGACAATTAACTCAAGTAATAAATGTTTGAATAACGTACTATTCTTCAACAATAGCAGTCTTTCAAGAAAATCGCATGCGTCTTAGATATATTAATTACAAATAACACAACGATGCGATCGAGATAATTGGCTAAACCTGAATATATATCGCCTACACTGAATTAGATTTTACTCACTATTTGGAGAGTGAAGCTTGCTCCTGTCTGAACAAGTGTGAGCGCTCTGTGTAGCTTTGATTATTTCAAAATACGCATCTGTGTTTCTTTTCATTTTAATATTGTTCTTACGATTGCGATAGAATGTGTTTTATTATTTCTAAAATAAAATTAAGAGGAATATTTTCATCTTATTTAGAAATATACTCTCTCCATTTGTTCTTAATGGATGTTACATAAATTAAAATTATAAAAAAAACTTATTACATGATTTATTACGTTGCATATTAATTATGTTTAAATGCTAAACTAAACGGAATCGAAATGTCGATGACTGGAAATGGTCATCGTCGTCAGCTCACAACCTTGATTCTTCGTTATGGTATAATTTGTTAAACCTGCTGTTTATTGAATAAACACATTTTTTTTTATAAAATTGTCACGTATGTATTTACTTTTACCCTCGTGTAGTAGTGGTATATACGTATGATATACGTAATTGATAATATTTTATTTTTTATCGCAATAAATTAGGTGCATTAACATAATATAGACATTAATATAAAAATATGAGATTTTTGGAACGATAACATTATTTTTTGCTGAATATTTGAATATTGGCATTATATGTGAGAAAATTATTAATTCTGTCAGTACATGAATTGTCAAATTTCTTCGGCACTACCAGGAATCGAATTTACTTTCCTGTGAGTAAAAGTACCCAAATGCGTATTTTAAAGAAAATCGGCACCTTACATTACACCCTTGCTTTACGCCGGTGAGTGAGTTAGCCGGCGTCCATTTTTTAAAGATTGGCAAAGCTTCTACTCCACAGGCTGTCATGTGCTGTAGACATCCATGGGAGGCAGCATTCACTTAACATCAGGTGAACCGCCTGCTCGCTTGCTAACTTTTCACGTGCTTTGCATGTGCCTTCAAAGTTAAAGATAATTAGTGGACGTTTAAATTTTGTACTAAGTAAATCATCCTTTGTTCAAGCCTTTTTTGTGGTTCCAAAAACTTTTTCAAGTTAGATGTAGCAATAGCAGCTTTTATCTGCGTTTATCGGGATTAGGCTGTGATGGTGTAACGCGTAACGAAATCCATTATTTATTATTTTATCCCATAATATCGTCATCACCACTTATTAATTATATCTATATATAAGGTGTTTTTTGTCGGTACACAAGAGAGTTATCCTTAATAATTTATCAGAATTAAAATTATCGACATAATATTCCCCGAAAAGACACAAATTACCTCCAATGTATATATTTCATAATTTTAAAGATTACTTATTATTAGGATAACTAATGACCAAGCCGGTTTGAAATTAATGTTTCCCTTGATAATTCCACATTACTACATTATTATTCCTCTCTTATCGCGTTACAGTGCATGACTAGTCGAAACAACCGATCATTTTCTCAGTGAAAGAGGATGTCTGGCGTTATTACGAAACGTCTATTGCATAACTCTGCGAACATGCCGGGAGGACACTTGATGCATTTATCTGCAAACACGGATTTGGAGCTGTCTGCCGCCGCCGGCAGCGGTTTCCTGGTGCGAAGGTAATCCGACTAGGACATACGACGCTAGTGGGGTCTCCAAAAATTAAATTCCCCTTAATCCCGATTTAAAATCTGTTATGTTACATTATCCATCCAAAAGTTTAAATGTATTCTATTATATCAAGTTTTTCAAGCGACTTTAAAAACGGAGGAGGTTCTCAATTCGACTGTATTTTTATGTTTTTTTTTTTTATATTTGTCACCTCAGAACTTTCGACGGAGTGAATCGATTTTGATGATTCTTTTTTTATTTGAAAGCTTGGTGCTTCCCATGTGGTCCTATATTAATTTCATTGGTATTCGATCTTGGGCTTCGGAGATACTTAGGAAACTCCTCTAAATCTTATATATAAAAATGGATCGCTGTTCGTTAGTCTTGCTAAAACTCGAGAACTGCTGGACCGATTTGGCTAATTGTGGTTTTGAAATATTTGCGGCAGTCCAGGGAAGGTTTAAACGATGAGAAATTAGGGAAAATTTACATGGGAAATCTAAATAGCGACAATTTTATTTTCCCATACAAACCGTTCCGATTCCTCTAGAAATAATTTATATGGCAAAACATCGTTTGCCGAATCAGCTAGTCAATAATAAAATTAATACAGAGCGAATAAAACAAGTCCATTTTTATTTATCCAGGAACTTACGTTCCTGTAAGTTCCTGGTGGAACACACCAACAACGCATTACCATTTTTTCTACTTCAGGGTGCATAATTAAACGAGTTCAAGGGAAAGCGTTAGTAATCTTAATCTTTGAGCTATTGCAGATGCTCAAGGTGGGATACTCGTGTATCCTCTCTGCTTGTTATGATAAGTTCTTAGGTGGATTAACAAAATTCGTAATTGTGTACGCATTTACTTCTAAAAACTACACACATTCATGGCGATAATTTAACACTTGCAGATTATATTATGTATAATTAATTATAACTTCAAAAATATATTGATGTTGTGTCTCGTTTTTTTTGCTTTCATTGATTGTCACAGCAGCGGAGCAATCTGCCGCGGTTCAGCTTTCGGTGGGCATCGCAGCGGTGCGCGTTTCAAAGTCCAAGCGTTCGTTTGCGTGGGCGCCACCAGCGCCATCTATCCGCACAATGTGGCCGACTCTCCTTGAATTCACGGAATCCTCTAAAGCGCATTGAGACATGGATATTGTATACAAGAGCCATGCGAGTTGAAAATTTCGCTGAGCGCTTTCGTAAATATTTCATATCAACTGAAAAATGTTTTTTTAGCATGATGTACAAAACCGCTTGCCTACATCCCTGAATTGGTTATCATAATCACATAAAAATTCACGATTTGTTAAGTGTGAGATTGTGTAAGTTTACATGTCTTTTAACCTTTCAGAAGTAGAGAAATTCATCCGGTTCGATAGCAGTTTCAGCGACACTTTTAGCGTGCGAACAGGCGATGAATCTGCTGACGTCTGTCATCACGTGGGACTCAATTTTCGCAATATTCTGTTTGTTAAGCGAAATAATTGTAAGAGTTATTATATTCCGTTACGTACGTTTTCTATCAAGTACACGTGACGTATATTTTTATATTTAGGAACATAGATGACAGTTAATTTTGGTCTAAAATACGAAAAGTAAAAAGATGTAATATACAGCGAACAATACTTATAGAAGGAATAATATCTTGATAGCGTCATAATTTAATTATTAACATTTCTAAGCTGATGGCTGATTAAAAGTTAGTGGAATGAGGGCTAAAGGCAAATAAATGATAGGTACTACTGTAATTTTCCGCTGTAATGTAATTTGAAAGTTAATCATTTGGTAATTCTGCTTCCAACTGCTTGATTAATCATTATTCACATTTATCATTCGTCGAGGACAATTACGTATTCATTCAAATATCAATTGTGTTTTTAATTAACTAAAAATATTTACACAATTAAATCTACTTAAATTATATGTTTTCTAATAATAAGATTAGTAGATTATAAGAATATTATACTTGTGTTAGCTATACTTTGTTTTATCGAGCTAAGAAGGTAGAAATATAAATACTTTTACCAAATCACCGTAGTTTCACTTTGCACAACAATAACACTGGTATAATTACTTATCTTCACTTTTAGATCACTAATGAAACACAACTCTGACGACTTAACCTGTGATACCGAGTGGACAGCACTATTTTGTATACTTCTCGTTGACAGCCGAAAAGGACGAAGGAAACGACGAAGAAGATGAAGGCCATCAAATGCTTCTTGCAGCTTCATTTATACCTCACAGAATGACACTTCTTTTAGTGTTACCAACAACCTCAAGGAATGCTTTAGTGTTGCCAACACTTGGTTGATACCCCATACTCGTTGAATGGTAATATTACTGAGATATTTACAATGAATTCACCATTTTTTCAATTGAATGGTTAGGTATTTAAAGTTATTTTAAGTATAAACACGACTCTTTTGCGCGATAGGGGAACTTCTTACCATCATTATGATACCTGTGGTATTGGTGTGCAGAGCACGTAAACGAGAACACAACCAAAACAATGTTCGCCAGTGGCAGAGGCGACCGGTGCCAAAAGAGCCCACAGAGCCACGGGGGCGCTATAATATGTTCCGAGGTCCATAAACTAGCCCAACGCGATATAAGTCTTCACGTTCCACCCAAATAGCAGTTTGTCAGTTCCCGCACACCCCAAGTGCTGCACTTAGCCCCGATCGCGTCGCAAATTGCTTTAATTCCTCGAATCTTTGTTCTATTAAATGGCGCGCTCCTTGTAGCGCGATTATAAGAATTAAAAACTGCGAATGCGACATTGCATTTACTGAAATCATTTGTGTTCACCGTCTTTATGTTGAAGAATTTATGTATTTTAGTTTTACTAATTGTTAGCTCTATCACTGTTTCTAGAAATCTGGAATGTTTATTAAAATTATTCATATAATTAACTGTACATACTATGCGGCTTAAGTCGTCCAGCGCCTTCAAAATTTTTATAGCAAGATATTGTTTTGTGAATAATTACAACACCTATTACGATGTCATATTTTTGAAAACAATTAGAGCGTTAATATTTTTGGGTAGTGTATTATTGTTTAGTTTATTCTTAAATGTATGGCGTTTATTCCATATTACTACCAGGCCTTGAGATCTTATTCTATCTATCTTATATTTTATTTTAACAAACTAACTCTACAGACGCGTGGTCTGTACTCTTTTTTGATTAACGTTTTTTTCTTAATTTTCTTTTTGTGCTGTTACCGCTGCGTACACCAACCGGGCTGGTAACGGTGCAGCAGTGAGTTCACATATTTACTGATTTATTGTTTTTTTTAATATATATATATATATATATATATATATATATATATATATATATATATATGAAATAATTAATTTATAACTTAATTTGATAACTTTGCGGTGGTAGAGCCGCACGGCAGCCTCGACTGTTGCATCTCACAGAAGACCAGCGTAAAGTGGAAGTATGACAAATACTTTTACGTTTCGTCTGGTGAGTGAGGTAGCCGGAGCCCAATTTTCAAAAGGTTGTCAACGCATCTGTAACCCTCGGGTGTAGAGGATGTCCATGGGCGGCGGTATTCATTTAACATCAGGTGACCTGTCTGCTCGTTTGGCAACTTTTCGCATAAAAAAAAACTTACAAACTAAACAATTTTTCCTGCACACTTTTTGTTATACGAGAATGGACGGAGATCTCGTCGTCGCAGGTTATTAGATCATAGGTGTTATTTCTTAGCTAGTCTCTCTGCGACCGCTGCGTCTCTGTTCCCAATTGCCATTTTAAGCTTATTTTAAGGTATTTTATTGTTTTTTAAGGTTTTTCTAATATTAATAATATATTGATTCCTACATACCATAACATAATACGTTCCGTGTAAGACTCTCCACTGTAGTGGATTGGTTTAGTGCTAATAACTAAATGTGTTTACGGCTTGTTTGGTATATTTGCGTCTTTCCATAGTATAATGTCTTATGGCATTCTGCTTTGGGGAAAAGAAAAAATATCATATACTTCTCGAGCGAGAGCTTTCGAACAGTTTATAATTAGGGTACTTGATATATTGGATAGACACACCCCGTCACACACAACCCGTCAACACAAGACATACATGGTCGTGCGTGAAAAGCCCGTCTTATTTCTGGCGACGTAGTCCGGTACTTCCTCTGTTCTGCGTGGCCGAGGAACTTCAGCTGGGGGAGGGTTTCCCAACAGGTTAGAAGTCACGAAGATTTCGTGAATCTCGCGGCAGGATTCTGCGTATATGAATTCGTTGGATAGAACTTGGACACTGGAATGTACATTCCGGCAATTAACCTCCGTTCGCGTAACCTACCTGAATGTGCTCACCTCAAGCATACCGAAATGCAGAAGTTAATTGGCTGTTAAAAAAAAATAAGAAAAATATTAATTTACCCATATTAAAAAATATTGAAAGCTACTACTAAAATTGATTGAGACACATTGCAAATTAACGAAGAAAAATAACCGTAGTGAAAATTTTATAGCGTGTAGGACATATATAAGAGTTCTAACGTTTTTACCTTGATCCTAATATTTTAACTATTACTGAACTTGAATATTAACAACTATTATAACGACAAGCGGCACTAGTGGTTATATCACCGTCCGGGAACGCAGCCGAAATCCAAGTGACCGCTACTCCATGTCCATGTGTCATATCCGGTATACAGTGTTGCCAGCGCCAACACATATGAAATAAAGCAAGTATTACATTTTTACTGTAGATTACTACTACTAACACTTACATTACTTAAAAGGTGTTTACTTACTCCAAAAGTGTTTTCTAATATTTTAGCACAGCGGCACGAGGTACTTTAACGTACAAAGTTTTAAAAAAAAACTAGGGTACTAATGAAAATATGTTCGTGTTGAGCAACCCGAGCCGTACCGTAGAATGCTGAATGGCCTGAAAGGATTCAAAATCAAGCACACTCATTCATGCGTCACACGATCGGGGAACCGATGAACCATGGTTTCACGCTCTGACACTACAATTACGAGAATGTAATATTAGTGATAATTTAAATGATGTCACATTCTGGAAATGAATTGATCGTTCCAGGCTCTTTCAAGTGAAATTTGTCAACTTATGTTTAAAAAAATGTCCCGCTGAGAGTTTCTTTCACCGGTTCTTCTCAGATCAGTGACTTTTTTTTTCTCGAACTGTTAGTATTTTGACAATCAATAAGTAATTTTTGTTTCTATATTGAATATATTATTGAATATATAAGATATTTGAATTTGGGTTTGAATTTGTGATCTTCGGATAATCCTATAACTTCGCAGAAGGATCGTTGGGGTGCATAATAAAAAGTTGGTGTGGTCGGTGGTGAAGTCAGAAACAGGCGATTCTATGACTTACCCGTCAAAGCCCGACAGCCGGATTGCAGCTGTGATGAACAATCCAAATATAATTATATGTCAGCTCTGGGCCGTTCAAATATGGTTTAAATTAACTTGTTGTGACAAACATTACCTGTCATTTCTAAAGAAGTACAAGTTTTACTTTTGGGTTTGGTACAATATATAGCCTACTTTAAGCTCATCTAAACACTATTCTGGACCAAATTCGATCAAGTCCTCAGTTGACGTGTTTACTACCTGCAGTTATTTTTTATTTAGTTAGCTCAGCTTATTTATATTTATTATATTTTGATCAATTTCATTTGAAAAAATCAAGAGTTTTAATGTGTTGTTATTGTAACAATTATTTTGAGTACAGCCGCAGTTATTAAAGAACCGTCACCAGTGAAATAGATTTCTGCAGAGTCCCGCACAAATAAAAAACGAGAAAAGCTGTACGTCCCCATCTATTAATACAGCTCCAGGGATTAAGTTATCCTTTTTTATTTCATACGCTCAGACAAGACGTGTACATTAATAATGACCAGTGTACTTAGTGGTATTAACGTTTCTCGGTAAAGAACGGGGACGCAACTGTTATTTACATTCTTCATCAGTATCATCATTACTATAGAAGCCATGAATAAATAATAAATAAATATGCGGGGCTCGTAATGACATCGGCAATTATAAAATAAGTAATCCTTAATTAGGTCGATAGAAATAGAAAATGAAATTATATTTTTAAAGATTACTTTGGTCATTTTCAAATTCGAAATCAATTCAACATTATTATTATGCACGTCATTGTCTTGTGCAATAATTATACTGTCATATATCAAATCAAAGCTTTTAAAAAAATGATTTTCTTCATCAGCATGTTAATTTAAGAATATACATTTACTAATCTGTTAACATATTCGGTCTCGTTTGAAGGATTTGATTTAATTTACTGATAATTTGGGGTCGCATGGACTATGCCCTGATATCTTCTTCACAGAGGAGGCCTTTACTTACTTATTGATAATTTAACTTGAGTGGCAGAGTTCACTTCCTGGTTTTTTTTTTCATTTAGGTTTACGAGTGTATTTTTAGTTAATTCTTTATACCAATGTTGTATATACCTGTAATAAGCAAAAATAAATGAATTAATTAACATGTTTTATGCTGTTGGTGTTACTTATTAAATAAAAAAAAATTAAGTAGATACATAACTCCCCAATACCAACTTTATAACTTGCATAAAAAAGGTATCCACACTTTTTATTTAATTATCACTATCTGGACAGTGCCTGATCGTCGTTTCATTGGACGGGCAGGCTTCTGTAGCTATAGATGATCGACTTCTATAAATGTCAAAATATAAATAATGTTAATAATATTTATTTCTATCAGATGGTGTCAAAAATGTTATTCCTCTTGGTCTTCTGAGCAAATTCATTGATTATTATTATATTATATTGTTAAGTACTATCCAATTGAATAATATACGCATTTCTTTTAGTATAGTTTTATGAAGTTATATGAAGATATCGAATTTCATATGACATCAACGTCGTCGGTTTCACAGAACGGATGAGAAATTATTCAAGGTGGATGAATAAACAGGTACGAGTAGCAGTCCTCCCGTACAGAGCATAGTTTATCAGGTTTGCGTGGTGGCTGTCTCGCCGCCCTAATTCCTTTCTCGTCGCGAGCCAGTTTAATTATCCGCCTCTGTGTTGAATTCGGTGCCCCGCTGCCGAGGAGCGATGCGGCCGCCAAGCAAATGTATGAGCCGCGTTGTTGCTGCGCTGCAACTAACAAGGATTTAATGAAGGAATTCCTCTCAGGAGCTCATCTTCATTTAGATTTTATCTGTTCAGAGTCAACGTGTATTTAAGCAAATTAGAACCACCTTTTTCTGCTTGTTTTCATTTACATTATAGTCATTGTATAACATATATGCAATAGTTATTTACATAATATATACCATATTTTAGATAAAATTTAGATGATTTTCAATCATAAAATTAAACTGAAACTCGACAAAGCATTGTTAGGAGACTTCTTCCGCCTAGGATTTTTCTTCTGAACACACATTTATCATTATACGTTGCTGGGCCTCGTAATCTTTCTTTTATCGTTGCTACTACAGATAATTCAAAATAGGCAATGTTTGTGTATTTGCAAACTTAAGGTGTTGCAGATTTTAATCTTGTTTTCGGGCCAAAAATGGATAGAATTTTTTTCGTCAGCATCCAATTAGACAATTTTAATTTTAGGAACATTGTTAACTTTCTTAAAACTGAGGTGTAAAATCATATAAAAATAGTAAGTAGTATAAGAAGTAGTTGGTAACTTAAAACATTATAATTTATCACAAGTATATTTCAACTAAAATTTAAGTGTTGTTTGATTAACGGGAACTCGCATAAAATGTAGGTCATTGGGCAGCACTGGCCCAGGAAGCGAAGTATGTACTAGCACTGCTTGCTAATATCGAAGTAAGTGGACTTGTGGCCTGGACTGCCATGTCGTACATTTATTAATGTCTTGTCTGTACATACCGGTCATACCGGATCGAAGCTAATTTCCGGATCATCTTTAATCCCGATTAAAATCAGCATCTGGTTGATGTCGAAGTTAGTTTGACTTATCTTGATCAATTCAATTTGTTGTGTAGCTAATGTTTAAAGAAAGGTTAATAAACGATAATTAATTAATAAATGACACTACTATTTTTACGGATTTCAACACTTTTACTTCGTAGTGTTCGTATAAACATAAGAAATGATTTCTAATTACTTGCTTTTCTAAGCTTTATAAGTGATACGTATTTTTTGCTGGCTTATAATATAATAATTTAAGAGTTGTGTTGATATTTTCACTCATTTTGCCACTTCCGTATTGGCAGCTCCATTGCAGCTCAGGACTGTAAAGAATAACTCTTTCGATTAATCAATCTATTTAAGAGCGTATTTAAAGAGATTGATTAACTCTAAGGATTACTTAGCAATAAAGGTCTTTCCGTTTGTATGTTCCGGAAGCAACATGCATGCCTTACAGTATAAAATGTTTTGTGACAGAAATGTTAAAGAAGAATTGTGAAAATATATGAATATTTTAGAAGTAAATTTATTATAAGAAAGTAACAAAAAACCTTTACATGATACTAATAATAAAATAATAAAATATTTCAGAACACACCTTAACACAACCGGAACTATTCCAGAACCAAGTAAGACTATTACAACGGTTAAAAGAAAGACGTACTTGAAAATTCTTTTTTATATACATTTTGTTTATATAACACAAATAATTGTAGTTCACCTGTGATTAAAAATACGCCTTTACTACTAAATCATTTTGAAGTCGAGCAAATGAAATGTAATTGCTTTAAAATGTATCTTTTCCAACAATAAAATACGTCCAGTTTCTTCATAAACCTTTAGTTTAGTATGTTTGAAGACGATCTCAAAGAAATTAGAAAAATCTTGTAGAACAGAGCCGCAGCTGTTGCTGACATTACGAAATATGGAGTTCATAAGGCGCGTGTGGTTAACAGGCCACGTCGCGCACCCTTATTTTATAATGTAACCTATCTTTTACCTCACTTGGTTTTTATGCGGTTTAAATTTTTTTATTGGTAACCGTAATACGTAATTTAATACACAACACGATAGATACATATTAACAATTATTTACATATTTAATCTATTTGTAACAATTAGCTTTAGAAAAAACGTTGAGAAATAACATAAAATTGAATTTAAATCTAAAGAAAGAAAAATATTTTAAAAATATGGTGGCACCATAGCATTTCATATCATGTATAATGTTACCCGCCTGTTTACGAATTTGTAATGCATAGTCTGATTTATGTAAGCAAACTCTATTCTTAGTTTATAGTATTGTATTCATATAGTTTAACAACTGAATTTATATTGTATTTGTAAATTGTAATAGAGAAATTTAAAGATATGCAATAATTTTTACTCAGAGCTATTAGTAATATCTTACCTGATTCAACCGTGCGTTATCCAAAGTTTTAGTACACAATATACATCAATGCAAACTACTTTGATTATATGCTTGTCAAGTAAATAATAAAAAAAAACCACTAATTTATAATTTAAAAACTAATAATAAGGTAATGACAATTTCTGCAAATCGGGGTCGCTGATCTTCTCAAGATTCAAATGCCGCTTAATATTTTATTTCATCAATCTTGATGATCCCCAGTCCTTATAGCATCAATTAAAAAAATCACAAGAAAGTTCGATTTATTTGGAAAATTGCTTGTATGATAATTAGTAGGTATATGAAGAAATGCTGGAACGGGATAAATCTAAAAAAAAAACTGTAAGCATTCGTTCATTTGACCATGCATTAGCTGATCGTGCGCCCGTACAATACATACGAGTATGCTTAGTTTTCTTTAAATGTTTTGTTCTTATTTTGTTCTGCCCGGGCCTCGCACAGGTGCAATAATAAACCTTCCTCTTGAATCACTCTATCTAGTAAACAAATCGCATCAATATCCGTTGCGTAGTTTTAAAGATCTAAGGATACATAGGGACAGACAGGCATCGGGATGACTATGGGTTATATACTATGTAGTGATGTCAAGACAATACCTTTGATGTGTGTAAAGTATTACGCTCCTACGAACAAAAATAAAACATTCATTCAAATAATTATTTACATATATTGAAAATCTTCGTTGAGAACAAATAATGTTACTTCATGTTCCTTAATCTAATTTTATTGAAAATGCTTTTCGGTCAAAGAGACCTTTGGTGGGATGATTCTTTAAAGACACTGATGCTACCAAGAGATAGGTTCCAAGGGTGGGGGCTATCAAACGATCTTCTGAACATGGAGCCCTTTAATAAGTTGAAATGTTTTACGTAGGTATTTAATTTCACATTATTGAAGCTTCTCAAAATAATGTGTTTTCAAACTTTTTATAAAGAATGACGTAAGTAACGTCGTGTGATAAATGTATTAGAAGATTCGTATACACAATAACTGAGGCAAATAAAGGCAAATGTAAATAACTTTAACTCTGGCGTAATTCAATTAAAATAAATTTTGAACGATAGAGAAAAATCTCTAATGAATTAATCAACAAGCAGAATTCGGCGGTCGCTTATAGTTTTCGAGAAATAAATATTTAAAACTTGTTATTTTCACTAACAAAGTCCGCCATTCGCCAACGTAATTAATACACAGTTCTGCCAACATGATGAATATAGGAAGCGGGCGACGTCATGTCCTAGCGATTATTCCATAATTTTTTTTTTCATAAAATTTCCAACAACACGTCTCGTTTTCCGACTCGAAAAAAATTTTTATCGATAGAGAAATGTTAATAATGAAATATAGTTTAGGTTATAATCCACGAAAATTATTAATTCTCAATTATTAGGCGCCAATACCAAATAAACCAACAATATGAAACAAAAAAGTCAACAACGCTACGTTATTCATATTGAAATATTATGGACATTTTTTTAAATTTTATATCGATTATATTTTTTTATAATTTAAATTACTTTGAACTAAGCTAAATTAGGTTTAACATTTATTTACTAATTAGTTAGCTTTATGGTTGCATCTTTTTAATTTATCACGGACCCTTTTCCGATTAGATAAGGTTCAAAATGAGTCACAGATCCGACACAGAGCACCCCGACTCCATGTGGTCTTGTGGTCCCTACCCCTAGAGTGAACATAAAAAGGCGGAGCCAGAACCTCGCGTCGGAGGTCCTGAGCGGAGGTCGCGCAAGCCCGCGAGGCCAAGCGAAGCGAAGGCCGAGTGGGTGAAGTGACACTCAGGGGTGACATAGCGAGTGTTCCGGCGAAGCACGTGGAAGAGTCAAACTTTATAAGGAAGTAATTAATTTTGAATATTTCTTATTTTTTACATAAAACAACAAATAAATTAAAGATGAAGATTTTAAAAGCTTTGTAATGTAAATAAATAAAAATAATAAATATAAGAAATATAAAAAATGTAATTTCATTATTATGTTTAGTTTATAATAAGGTTAAGGGCTTTTAACCAAGATTTAATAAAATTTGTAATCGAGTTTCAAAATCGATATTAGTATATTATCTAATATATATACTAATATCGATATAGTATATCGATATTAGTATATTGGCTGTATATAATTTTTTCGGTGCCTAATCGTATGTTAAATTTAAACAGGAAGTATTTCCCGCTCATTATTTAAAAGCAATAGAATAGCGGTTATTCGTATTTGCAATGACGGATAATATGTGTGCGTCTACTAGTAGTAGTGATATTTTATGTACATATTGTAATTTAAGTTTTTATTCTTTTTATAAAATTTTATTCAAATCAGAATCAGATCGTTTAGTACTTTTTAATTTTTTGTGTCGTCATGGAGTTCTTGTAAATACTGTTAAATGTTTTAAATGTGGACAAGACTGTGTATTAGATTTACAACGGAAGATTTTTAGATGTTACAATACTTTAGTAAATCAAAGAAAAAAAAAAACGAAAATGTAACACTCAAATTTAAATTTTTAAAAACTCTTTTTTTTATCATGTCAAATTACCTTTTGAAAGAGTGTGTGAGTTTGTCAATATATTCTTGCGCGTCCCCATTGGCGGCCGTATGCCATTAGTTATCAAAGAAATGAAAATATCGAAAGTTACATACGTCGATTGGGCGAGTTTTATGCGAGAAGTTTTCATTGACTATTTAGCTAGACACTCGCGTCCAATCGTCGGGAAAAACGTGATAGTGGAAATCGACGAGGCAAAATTCGGTCGACGCAAATATAATCGTGGCCGAATAGTTCAAGGACAGTGGGTGTTTGGTGGCGTTGAGAGAAACAATAAGTGCAATCAATTTTTGTGCCAGTGCCTCAACGTGACAAAGAAACGCTTCTGCGAGTTCTTCGAGAATATGTGTTGCCGGAAAGTGTGATTTATAGTGATTGCTGGAAGGCCTATAAAGATCTGAAAAATGAAGGCTTCCAGCATTTCGTTATGAATCACAGTCTTCATTTTGTGGACCCGAACACCGGCGCTCATATTCAAAATATAGAACGCCTTTGGCGGGATTGGCGTACAAACGTGCCTCAGTACGGTCGCCGTGAAGCTCACTTCATTGGTAATCTGGCTGAGGTACGATTTCGTAAAATTTTCCCCGAACCTGGAGAACGTTTGCACCATTTCTGGAAGAGTGTGAGTGTCCTCTACCCACCGATGATATAAAAATGTGAGTATTTTAAAAAAGTTCCTTTAGTAAATGAAGCGTTATTAAATTAAACATGTTGACAACAACAAAATGGCGGACTTTGTTAGTAAAAATAACAAGTTTTACATATTTATTTTCTCGAAAACTATAAGCGATCGACAAATTCTACTTGTTGATTAAATCATAAGTGATTTTTCTCTATCGTTTAAAATTTATTTCAATTGAATTACGCGAGAGTTAAAGTTATTTACATTTACCCAAATAAATAGATATTTTTTTAACAATAGAAATTATTTTGAATACTAACATGGATTTGTCAAAATAGGAGGAAAAAGT